ACATTTAGATAAATATTTATTTCAAGATGTTAGTCTCATCAGCAGAAGAACACTATCTGATAAACATCTTTTAAATATAAATCTAGGAATATAATATTTGTTTACATTAGCATGAGATGTGTAAACATATTATATCTGCCTATACATGATAGAATAACGATAAACAGTTGGCCATCAGGGCACAACTCCAACAAACGCCTGTTTACGTACCAGTTTGATTCTTCAACAACAACCAACATTTAAACATCAAAAATTCCACATGGATATGTTATTAACTAAATTCCAAACCTAACTAAATCCAACCGTTAATGAATCCAAACGAAACATAACAATTCGTCAAATATATATTCAATAATCAATCAACGCCTAAATAATGTGTTCTACCCTTTTCAATCAATATAACCCCCAAAACCACAATCAAGCAATTCAACAAAGTATTTCACAGATCAATCATGATGATAGCTATGCACACGAATTTCAAACCTAGATGCATTTTCTAATGTTAGATGTCCACGTACCCACCTCGATTCTGTAACGCCCCAAAACATACCCTAATATTTATTGAATTAAATATTCAATTAAACAAATCTGTATTGATTAAAAATAAATTATTGTTGTGTTGGAATGCATGAGTTCACCTCTTTCTGTGTTGTTTAGTGTTGACTCACAGGTTTTGATAATTGACAAACACAATTTATTCAAGTCAAGATCAAAGTGCTACAACGACAAACACGAAAACTTGAAGTGCCATTCCTTGAAGTATTCAAGAAGGTGCACAGGTTTTTATTGGAGTCCGAGACGCGTTCGGAGTGCCTAACGGAGGACTCGGAGGAGTAGAAGATTTCCAAAGACTTTTTATTTATTTGAGTCATAGGAATCATTGTAAGGATGACAAAAATATCTTCTCTCCAAAATTATTTTTATGAGAGTTAAAATAAAAATTATATTTATTTTTGGAGTCAATTGAAAAATCTTTTTAACTATTCAAAATAGTTTTATTAAGTCAGTTACCAAAGGTGTGTCAAACATTTATCAAATATTTATTTTGATACTATAAAATATTTTTGGTAAGCAAAAATATTTCACTCAAATATTTTTCGTATACATCGTTTGACACACAAAATAATTTTTGGACTCACTTTTTACTCCCTTATTCAAATTCATTGAACAAGGGAAGGAGCGTTCTCTGATTCCCGGTTGTCTCAAACAACGAGTGTTACGACATTTGTGCTCTCAATCGCAACTGGCTTGGGCCCTTTGTGTTTTGCGCATTATTTCTTTTTGTAATCGATTATGCTTCGTTGTTTAATCGATTAACCTTCGTTCGCATTCCATTAATCGATTATTCCTCTTGTTTTAATCGATTAGTCCTCTAAGAGCCTTCTAATTGATTAGTCCGTGTAGAAGGAACTTTGCGCACACTGCATTAATCGATTATTGACACTGCATTAATCGATTATTGACACTGCATTAATCGATTATTATGCTGCATTTTTTCATCACAACTTCTTTTCTTGGACCAACGGATATATTTCTTCACTTCCTATTTAAACACACTTCCTTATTATGCGGTTGTGTTGAGGCTTGTGAGATTCAAGTTCTCGGTTTGTAAACGGTTTGTCAAGCACCCGCTGAAGCTTGATAAGTAGTAGTAGCTTCGGGAGAGTCTCTTGGGGAACTGGACTAGCCACGAGGTGGTGAACCAGTATACATCGGTGTGTTCTTTGCCTTCTCTCTTTTATTTCCGCTGCACTTACGTTTATATTATTAATCCTGCGAAAATCGGTAAACATTCTCAACAACTCTATTCACCCCCCCTCTAGAGTTGCACGCCTTGTCTAACAATTAGTATCGGAGCAGGTATCTCTAACGCTCCTTGTGACGTTTGAGAAAACGATCAAATTTTTTTTGAGAATGTTGAACGCAGGGATAGGAGAAGGACAATCCACCGTAAGGCCGCCATTTTTTGATGGAACGAATTACTCCTATTGGAAGGAGCGTATGAGAATTTTTGTTCAATCTAATAACTTCAAAATTTGGCTTGCTATCAAGAATGGAGATAGCTTGCATATGAAGAAGATAGGCGATACACTCATCCCAAAGGACGATGATGAATATGATGAAGCCGATCTTAAGAAGACTCAATTGAATGCCACCGCCATCAACTTCTTGTATTGTGCTGTCAACGCCAACGATTATCAAAAGATATCTCGTTGCCAAACAACCAACCAAATGTGGAACAAGCTCATGATCACATACGAAGGTACGCCTCAAGTTCGTGAATCAAAAATTGATTTACTAACCCATGAATATGAGTTATTTGCTATGAAAGAGAACGAACTTGTGGAGGACATGTTTGGAAGATTTTCAAACATCGTCAACGACCTTGATATGCTTGGAAAGACGCTCACCGACAAAGAGTTAGTGAGAAAAATTCTGCGAAGTCTTACCAAGGAATGTGAGTCGAAGGTTAAGTCCATTTACGAAGGCCGAGATTACAACGTCATCACATACGACGGTCTTCGAGGTAACCTTATCACTTACGAAACAAATCATCTTTCTCATACTCTTGACGTTAAGAAGAGAACGGGAATTGCTTTTAGAGCATCTTCTTCTCAAAAAGTAGAGATTGGTGATTCGGATTCGGATAGTGATAGTGATAGTGATTCTAGCACTTCCTGTGATATTTTGGTTGAATGTTTTAACGAGTTTATGAAACATGAGCTTAAAAAGAGCAAGAAGAAGAACACCCCAAAATGTCACAAGTGCGGAAAGCTTGACCACCGAAAATTTGAGTGTCCGAAGCTCAAGAAGATGAGCAAACAAGATGAATTCGCGTATTTTTCGTGGAAGTATGATCAACCTTCCAAAGACGATTGCCTCATCGCTCTTGAAGAACAGGATGGGTGGTCGGGTACGTGACGCACTTGAAAGGTGTGATTGAAGACTACAAATTTGTAGTGGATGCTCCAAGCACTTAGCCAAAGAGGTTGCATTTAAGGGGAGTCATTACATTTTTTTAAATGAATTTATTTGGGAATTTATATAGGATGCTTTGCATATAGTAAGGGGGAATTTATTGCTATATGTGTTAATCTTTTTGTATGCCTTATTTTTTAAGGGGTAGATAGCATACTTTAAGGGGGAAGTATTTTATTTCCTAGAAATGCATGATTTTAGGGGAATGTGATTTTTCTTAATTGTTTAGAAATATTTTTTTCCCCAGAATGCATGAGTTCTTTTGTTGCATTATTTTTGATAATGCCAAAAGGGGGAAGAGTATAGGAGTATATGCCTTATTTTGTTATTTGCTGGTAGCATATCCTCCACGTGTTTGTCATTATCAAAAAGGGGGAAATTGTTGGAATGCATGAGTTCAACCCTTTCTGTGTTGTTTAGTGTTGACTCACAGGTTTTGATAATTGACAAACACAATTTATTCAAGTCAAGATCAAAGTGCTACAACGACAAACACGAAAAATTGAAGTGCCATTTCTTGAAGTATTCAAGAAGGTGCACAGGTTTTTATTGGAGTCCGAGACGCGTTCGGAGTGCCTAACGGAGGACTCGGAGGAGTAGAAGATTTCCGAAGACTTTTTATTTATTTGAGTCGTAGGAATCATTGTAAGGATGACAAAAATATCTTCTCTCCAAAATTATTTTTATGAGAGTTAAAATAAAAATTATATTTATTTTTGGAGTCAATTGAAAAATCTTTTTAACTATTCAAAATAGTTTTATTAAGTCAGTTACCAAAGGTGTGTCAAACATTTATCAAATATTTATTTTGATATTATAAAATATTTTTGGTAAGCAAAAATATTTCATTCAAATATTTTTCGTATACATTGTTTGACACACAAAATAATTTTTGGACTCACTTTTTACTCCCTTATTCAAATTCATTGAACAAGGGAAGGAGCGTTCTCTGATTCCCGGTTGTCT